AGAGAGGAGAAGGGACATCGAAGTGTGGCGTGGCAGAGGAGAGGAGAAAGGAGTGTGCCAGAGGAAGGAAGAAGAAAGTAGATCGCATGGAGATGGCGGACCAAGGTAAGTTCATCGATCGTTTTTTTTTGTTTTTTTTTCTTGCTCAGTTTTTTTTCCTTTTTTTGTTTCGAGTTGGAGTAGCGAGTATCGACGAGGTCGGGATGTTCGGGATTCGAGTCGAAGGAGTGCCGATGTCGGGACACGGGAGGGAGAGGGCCGAGCTGGAAAAGCTATGATGTCGGGATAGGGAGGGGGAAGTCTGAATGCAAACCGGGATGGGTGAGGGGGGGGGAGTCGGGATGAGGGGGGAGAAGGTCGGGATGGTGAAGAGAGAGAGGCGATGAAGGGAGGGGGGAAGGGTTTGAAATCGGCTTTACGTCAGGATATCGACGAGGTCGGGATTCGAGTCGAAACATGGGACGGGAAGCCCGGATTGGAAGAGCTACGATGTCGGGATAGGGAGGGGGAAGTCGGAATGGAAATCGGGATGAGGGGGGACAAGGTCGGGATGGGGAAGAGAGAGGGGCGATGAAGGGAGGGGGGAGAGGTTTGAAATCGGCAGAGAGGCTACTTCCATCAATAGGATGAGCAAAATTGGAATGAATCTTCCAGTAGAATATGGATATATACACTGCTTTCCCGCCATGGGCGCAGAGAGATAGAGAGAGGCTACTTCCATCGATAGGATGAACAAAATCGGAATGTCGGGATAGGGAGGGGGAAAAGGGGGGAGGAGGGATGAGGGATGAGGGGGAAGAAGGTCGGGATGGGGAAGAGAGAGAGGCGATGAAGGCAGGGGGGAGGGGTTTGAAATCGGTTTTACGTCGGGATATCGACGAGGTCGGGATTCGAGTCGAAACATGGGAGGGGGAAGCCGGGGAAGTCGGAATGGAAATTGGGATGGGGGAGGAGAGGGGGTCGGGATGAGGGGGGAGAAGGTCGGGATGGGGAAGCGAGAGGGGCGATGAAGGGAGGGGGAAGAGGTTTGAAATCGGCAGAGAGGCTACTTCCATCAATAGGGGAAGACACTTAAGTGAGGGGGGGGAAGAAGTCGGGATCCAAGGGGAGGACGTCGGGGCAGGGAGGCAGGAAGTTGGGAAGTCGGGATGGGAGGCGGGATAGGGAGGGAGGAAGTTGGGAAATTGGGATTGGACTCGGTTTCGGGGTCGGGATAAGCAGGGGGGGGGAAGAGGTCAGGATCAAGGGGGAGGACGTCGGGATTGAGCTCGGCATGCGGGAATAGGGAGACGAGGTCAGGATAGGGAGGGGGCAAATGAGGTCGGGATAGGGAGGGGGGAAGTGGTGTGCACACACACGCACACATACACACACACGTAGTCGGTTTGAGGGAGGGGAGGGAGGACAGATGAGATTCGCCCGAGGTTGCAAAGCTTTTGTTTGTTTGTTTTTTTATCGCCAAAAAAAAAGGACAGAAAGGATGTCGGTTTTTTTTTTTGTTTGTTTGTTTTGGCGAGGGAGGTGGAGAAGAATTGGGATTGGGAAGAGGGGGTGCCGTCGGCATCGCAAGGGTGGGGGAGGGGAGGAGGGGTTCGGAGGAAGTTCGGAGGAAGTCGGGATTGGAGGGGGGAGAAGAATTC